GGGTCTTCAAGTAGCTCTACAAGGCAACTCAAGCATTCACTTGGTAATATTTGATTTGACGTAAATAATCGTGTGAGCTTCTGTCCAGAAATTACCTATAAAATAGTAATTAAAATGTGTTAGTTAAAAACTGGCACCCTCGCAGGTGTGGCTCAGTTAGTTGGACGTTGTTCTGTGCACCGAAAGGTTGCAGGTTCTATCCCCAGTCAGGGCACATGCCCAGATTTCGGGCTCAATCGGTTAGGGGTTGTGCAGAAGGCACCTGATTGATGTTTCTCTCTCTCTCTCTAAAAGTCAACAAAAATATATATATTTTAATAACTGGCAGTTTTCATCTCTTTCCTACTTAAAATAAAAACTCAGTTCTTCCAAAATGCCACTGCCACTCCCCCAATTTTGAAAATTCATACATGCTGATACCTCTGCTGAGCAGATGAATTACCTATCCCTTCTCTCACTGGCTAATGTAATCATTTGGGTTTCAGCTTTGTTTCCTCCAGGTATTTTTTCTAACCCTCTTCTATCAATTACATTAGGTTTGCCTATTACTCTATCCTACAGTTCATTATACTTTTATTTCATAAACTTGCAAACTTTTAATTACCTAGAAATATTTATCCTCCCTACTACACTGAACACTCCATGAAGGCATCAACTACAAATCAACACTCTACTACCAATATATTTATTGAATAAATGAATTCTAGTACTTTCATTCCACCTACTTTAAGGGAGACAATGGAAAGTGAGAAGTAGCTAAATTCAAAGGTTTAGCTATGCAATTAACTATGTGATTACTTCTGCTCCCTCCCCAAAACAATTGCTGAACCCAGAAATTAGAGATTACTAAAGAGGAATTTAAAAAAATTTTTTTTAAAGTAGCCAGGTCAGGCATAGGCAAATTTTATCTTTGGATATTCTACTTTTTACTCCTCTCTTACTATCTCACCCTACCCCCTCAAAAAGGTAAAGCTGGGATTGAAGGCAACAAAATAGTTGTCAAACAGAACGTATTTTCCAAATGCTTTTTGAATGTTATTCATTAATAAACATATATTTTCTATGTAAGTGGAAAAAAACAATTAAGTTACTTTAGAATTAGAGAAAATTTGTTCTAAATGTTTTTATTTTTAAAAGATCAAGTCTCACCTGGAGAGCATCATGTTAAGCGAAATAAGCCAGTCAGAGAAAGATAAATATCATATAATCTCACTCATTTGTGGAATAAAATTAACAACATAAACTGATGAACAAAAATAGATCCAGAAACGTAGAAGCATCAAACAGACCCTCAAACCTCAGAGGGAAGGCAGGGGAGGGTGAG